AAGTACCTGATACGGGGGCAGGTGATTCAGGTTTCCCTCTTAGTCAAGGTTCTACTCCTATCTCACCTCTCCAACAAGATGATCCGGATACTGTTTTTGGGGGTGATAAAGATTTTGAAGCTTTTGTTTACAGTCCTTTCACAGTTCAAGAAGATAGTGATGATGATGCTTCAGTTACCAAAGGGCAATTCAAGGCCATCAATGAGAAGTTGGATACCTTGCTTCAGTCTACCAAAGCATCCTCTCGCAGTGACTATTCTGAGGAAACGGTTAAATCATTCCTTGAAACCCTAACCAAAGAGCACACTACGAACCTTGACAAAACAAACAAGGCATTTGATGACTCTGCATCTGTTTGCAAGGAAACGACCGAAAAAGTCGATAAACTAATTTCTGATGCTCAATATTTTATGAGTACTTTCCAGACTTCCTTTGAAACAAACACTACAAAGGCGAATGCAGTTATAAACAGTCTTGGATCTACCCTTTGGACTGAGAAGGATGCTCTTGAGAAAGTTCGCACTGACATTCAATCTGACAATACAGAGTTTCACACCTCCATCTCTTCCAAAATAGATAAGCATCATGAAGATTTGGCTGTTGAGAACAAAATAATTGATAAGCTTGCCATCAAAACAGAGAAAGTGAAAGTTTTATCTATCAAGCTTGCTCATGCTAATAAGCGAATTGACGATTTCTTGTCTGAAAAAGATGCGATGAAGAGTTGCATAGCTGATGTGCATGCTTACTTGAATAATTTCATTGAAACTCGTGATTCACTAATCACGATGTCTGTAAGGAAACATCTGGTTGATAAACTTAGGCCTGTGTTCGCAATGCTAAACAGGCTTGAGGGTGTTTCGGAGTCTGGCACACTTCCGAAACAAGGGGGAGACACTGTGAAGCCATCTACGAAAGAAACCCATAAACCAGCCGATACTACTGAAGGATCTGATGTTCTGAAGCCAAAGTCAAAAGTCGAACCGAAGGATAATGTAGCTTCGGGTTCTAGAGGTAAAGAAAAGATTATCGATGACAGTGAAGAGGATGAACCTAATGAGCATGAGCTGAAACGAAGGAAGGCTCGTGAAGCTGAGATTGATAAACACAATCACATTGTTAGAGAAGTTGAAGAAAAAGAGAAAGCGCTTCGTGATGCTCAAATCACTCTAGAAGCTAAGAATGCATTATTTCCTCCTTGGTCTATGGAGAGAATTCTAACCGAAGCAATTGACAACCCAATCATTCACTGTTTAGAGTCGGTCACCTCGTTCAATCTTGAGAACACATTGGATTCACAACTTGATTTTCCAATTACCCCAAAAGCTTTTTTGTTTCGTAGCTTTGATGTAATTGTGAATGCTTTAGAATCGGATGAAGGTGTTAACAAGTCACTAATTGAATTTTATCTGAAGCATGGCCAACCTCAATGCCTCACTTGGAGCACAATGAAAATAACAGTTGTAAAGGTGATTGGACCTATTCAAACTGACAGCTTTGTCAATGCCAAGTTTAAGACTGCTCGAGGTTCGGAGAGTTCAGTGTTTGAGTTCTCTCTCGCTAATCTGCCATGTTTAAATCCCTACGATTGGATTAAGCTGTTAAACCTATTGATGAAGGAAGAAAAGAAGTATGAACCAATTATTGCTCATATCAAGAGGATGTTGGTTTCGTACATCCATGAAGTAGCAAAGATGAATGTTGAAATTGTCATTGTGTTGCGAAAGAAACCAACAGTCCTTCCCGAAGCTTCTGCGAAATACATCGAGAAGATGAAGATGGGGAAAATTGAAAAGGACAACTGGAGCGTGATGTTTCAACGGGGATAAAAAGAAAAAGGTGATGTCCAGAAATGTCTATTTGCTTTGCCTGATAAGCACCTGTTCTCCACTTCCTACTTGAACTATGTTTTGGAGATCACAGAACAATGCAAGGCAAATGATGCAGCTACAAAGAAGTGATATTCTGATATGATACGATGGTACATTGTTGTTCGCAGTTCATTGCTCAGTATCATGCCTAAGCTCTTCAAGAAACAAAAACGAACACAACCGTGAAGAGTCTCCTTCCTCAATTGACACAAAGGGGGAGATTGTTGGGTCATTGGATTGCGTCAATTGTAATTATTATATATAGTCCATTTTATGTAACGGGTTGCTATCCACCCGGTGTCTTTAATGATTAGGGTTTAGCTATAAATAGTGCATGCATGCACCGTATCTAGTGTCGATCTTCTTGTAAGCAATTCTTCATCGAGTTCTTCTAAGGCATAGATTATTAATCATTCGGCACTATTTTGATCATTGTGTTCTTTGTTTATGATTCAATTACCTGTTTGAAATCTATCGATCTACTCATCTTAATTCTAACACCACCCTAATATTATTTCCTTTTATTTCATACTTTAGTAATTTTAGTATTTGCCCCTCAACTTCTATTTATACCTTTTACTGACTTGTATTTACTCTATATTCCCACAAATCAATTTAATTAAATTATATACCCTTTAAATATCAATTACTTCTTTTAGATATTAATTAATATCCCTTTTTATTTAATTTATTTCAATCCTACGCTTAGAATGGAAATAAATTTACAATCACTAATATTCGAGTAACGAAAAGCTAACATCGTTAACAACAAGATTTCGGGTCGTTAAAGACTAAGAGATGGATGGAGAAGTGATGGAAAAAAGTAAAAGGAAACTAACAGGAGGGCGTGGTACACCCATACAAGAGTGTAGAGCACTTCCGAGAACAAAACAAAAAACAAGAACTTGCTTGTTTTTTTTTCATTTCTATCCATTTACTCTCTAAAACACACACTTGAGGTGCCATTTCACCTAGAAACGTCGGAAGCATGGAAGCAAGGAGATTTCAAGAGTTTGTCCATTTATCCTCCAAACCAAGGTAATAGGTCATGATTCTAGCATCTAGTTCTTCATTTTATGGTGAAATCTTGTAGTTTTGATGACCCTTAAAGATTGAATATGAAAATGTTAGATGGAAATGGTACTCATAAGTGTTATAACAACTTCCATAACTCTATTAACATACATGTATGTGGTTTGAAGATGGATTTATAAAAGTAATTTCTGAACCATATCTTATTTGCTCTTGCATGTTTAGATTAAGACCATGGTTTAGTGAATCAAGTAATTTTGAGTTATTGAAAGTTGCTATAATAACTGAATGACTGAGTGTATTGAGAATTTAATCATCGGATGGAACTAGAACTAAAGCCAAAAAGGGTCTGTGTTCGTTACCTGTACGGTGGCTCATTTAATGAGTCTGGTGCACCTAGCATGCTATGTAAAGCTATGTCTTTGATAAGGGTATATACAAAACAGATATACGTTCAGTTGAGTAACAAGTATTCTGGTACCTGTGTTTATATGTGTTATAGTGGCGCAAGTAAAGGAGCCAAACAAGGAGGTCAAGAGAATGGAATATCACCCATACAAGACCTAACGAGGTGAGTAGATAATCTTACTTGGTGTTAAGAATGTGTTTAGAATATACCTTGATACATGTATCTAGTTGTAAATGTTATAGTGATCTTTGCAAAGTGAGCCTTATGGGTGTTCTAAGACTTCATTTCATTAGATGGTGAAAATCCAAGGGAAAGTATTATATGGTCATTGTTACAAAGTGAGTCTTATGGGTGGTGTAAGGCTTCACTTCATTGGATGGTGAGTTTATATGGTGTAATGAGACTTATTCATTGGTGATTATATATAACCATGGAGAAATTGTGCGAATCGAATAGCCTTAGATAGTTCTTACAAGTTGGTTGCCATACTAAAAGACATGTTAGGAGAAATTGTTTTACTTTGTATATATAAGCTTAATGGTATTATTACAAAACGAGCTTAATGGTATAACAAAAACGAAAAAATGAATATATTGTTTATTAAACATAACTAAAAGATAAACAAAATAACTTCACAACATTAACCCCACAAAGCATACGCTTATAAGGGTGGATGAAGTCGAAGAAAATATGCAACATGTTAGCGGTTATACAGTCGGCTACAACATTTCGTGGTCAAGAGGTACCGCCAAATGATGAAATTCGGGTTCTATAAGCCGATGTTCTCTCTTCTCTATTTATATCATGTGTTGTAAAGATTATGCATAGAGGTTTGGATTTTGAAAGGATTGATTTCCATATAGGAAGTGGGTTGAAAATATTATAAATAAAAGGTGAGATAAATATTAAATAATAATGTTACCTTACATACTATTAAATAATAATGTTACCTTACATACCATATGGATCGGAATGGGTGACCTTTACTTTCTTATACAAAATTTTTAAAACGAAAAAATCATTTGAAAAATGGAAAAGATAAATTAACCCAAAATAAAAAGAGTTTTCTATAAGTACCCCCTTCATTTTCCAATTCCACCCCCTTGATTTGATTTTTTGTCTTTTGTTGTTTTTTTTTTTTTGTTTTTTTCCTAGTTTGTTTTTTTGTTGTTTTAATTCTTTTTTAATTATTATTATTATTATTATTATTATTATTATTATATTTTGATTATTATTATTATTATTATTATAAATTTCGCACAAAATTTTAACATTCGGAAGACATTATAAATTCAAACGGCTATATAAAATCGGTTTTTAAATATTTTTTTTATATTTAATTACGAACAAAAAAGTCGTTCGAATTTTATAATGTCGTGCGAATTTATAATGTTTAACGAATTTTAAAATGTCATCCGAATTTAATAGTAATAATATTAAAATATAAAATAAAAGAAATAAAATCAAAAACAAAAAGAAAAAAAAAAAAAAAAATAATGTCAAGTAAAAAGTTGATTTGATTAATGTTAGGGAGGGTAAAATTGGTTAAGGGGTATTTATAGCACAATCAATAAAAACCTTAGGTTTCAAAGTCGCCCCTTTTTCGTTTCCTGTTCAATTCGCACAATTTCTACATCTGTCTTCTTCAACCAATTCCGGAACTTTCCATCTTACCATCTGCTGCATCGATGGTGAGGGGTTCATCTCAATCTCAGTCCTCCTCCTCTTCTTCCAATTCCCGACCAGGCCCTGTCGGCGTCGCACCTCGCGGCTCCCCTGCTGCCACTGCTGGCCTGCGACGCCGTCGTCTTGCCACCGGATCGTCCTCCGGCGTCAGTAATGGAACCGGTGGTAATACTGGAGGCAACATGCTCAGGTTCTACACTGATGATGCTCCCGGCGTCAAAATCACTCCGACCGTTGTCTTAGTTATGAGTGTTTGCTTCATCGGCTTTGTCACTGCTCTTCATGTGTTCGGTAAGCTCTACCGTCGATCCTCCGTCGAAGCTTGATTTTACACGGATCTTGTCTAATCTTTCATGCTTTTGTTGTATGATCTGAGCTTTCATGATCGGCGCCATTAATTTTGTGCTGTGTAAATTTGATCTAGATGCTCAGATCTTGTTTCCAGGTTATCGTTCCAAAAGATAAAGAAATAAAAAGGTTTAGTTTCATGAATCAGTTGTTTGTGTTTTTAGAGGTTCAGATTATGAATTTATGACTTGCTTTCTTGATGATGCAATTTTTCCTTGCTAATGAATGACAAAAATTTTACTGAGGATCATAGTTCATTAATTTCATCAATCATTCGTCTTAATCAAATTAAGCAAAAACAAATGACGAGAAACGATATAATGTATTTATTAAGGGCAAACTAGTAAAATACGAACGAGATGCAGGCGGATAAGTCAATTACTTAGCGAACACTATGAAGCTTTCTTTATGATCCACTTGTTTGGAAATTTGGTCTTAATTTTACATTACATGATACAATCTATGTTTTTTGGTTTGTACTCGTCTAAATATATAGTAAAAATTATTGAATTAAATAATTGATAAGGATAAGGACAAAAACCACAACAACCTTGTCAAAATAAGGATATTTCTCTTCTTGGCTACCATGTAACTTAACAAAATTGCGAACTATGTTTTTTTTTTTTTTTTTTTTTTTGACAAAATTGCAAAAATGGTGTGGTTGTCAAAATTATGTGGTTTTGGTCCAAAAAAGTTTTATGGTGCATAATTGGTCTAATATTGGATCTTTTTAGTGATTTTGGTCTCTATACACTTGAAATTACTTTTATACCCTTATAGTTTATATTTTCCTTTTTTTTAATTGTTGAAATGTTTTAATTAAATTAATTTAATTCATGTTTAACTTAAGACAAAAAAATAAAAAAAATAAAAACCCAATTCACCCTTTCATCCCTGTCATAACACCAAGGAGAAGAGAATCCCAATCATCACACCACCCTCCATCACCCGTGTCTCTAACCAGCGTCGGCGACCTCCATTTTCACCGGAGTTACCTGGTTCGCCACCATCACCCTATTATCTCTCTGCCAGACATCACTCAACTTCACTTCTTTCTATCTTTTTCAAAAACACACACAAACACACAGTCTCAAGAACACCCACACTGGAAACCAACGACAATAGGCTGGAAACCCACACCACCAGCTTCCCTTCTTGCACATCTGTCACCACTGCATCCAGTGCACTACAAGCTCCTTCCGGTAAAATCTATGAACCCCCTCAGTCTCTTTACTCTAGTACTCTACTTCTCTCCCGACTTTTGATTTTGGTTCCTGAAACCAAATTGAAAACGATTTTCAGATCCGATTTTAGTGGAAATTTCGGTACATGGACTTTAATTTTCGGATTTAAGTTTATCAGGAAGCATTGTTGCAGTGAAACAAATCAACCATAAACAACTCCATCAATCTGGGTGGAGGTCAGTGCAGGCGGAAAAGGAAATGGACGAGATTGAGGTTTGGGACGACAACCGTCGTGAAGGCGTAGTGTTTAGGATCGATTTGCAGGTCCATTACTTGGCATCGTTTTGCAGGTCCTCTGTGAGACATCAATTTGCAACCCCTGTCTCACCTTCAAAATCAGTAGGTGTATGGTATAAATCGATCTCGTTCGTCGGGTACTAGAGGAAGGAGGAGGGCGACGGAGGCTGGTGGCAGCAGAGTGAGTAACGGAGGCCGGTGGCGGCACAGGGAGCTAAGGTTGTCGATGTATGAGTGTTTTTTTGGGTGAGTTTTACAGGAAAGAAAGGTAGAGTCGTAGAGGGAAAGGGATTAGAAGGGTAGGGTGGGTGGATTTTTTGTTTTGGTTTTCTAATTAAAATAATAAGGAAATAATTCAAAGAAATAATTTTTTTTTATCAAAGGGCATATTGGTCTTTTCATGTAGGGTATAGATCAAAACCACACAACAATGTGAACTATAGGGACCAAAACCACACAAAATATCCAAAATTGGACCACTAATGCACCACCAAACTTTTTTGGACCAAAATCACATAATTTTGACAAGCATAGAGACCACTTTTGCAATTTTGTCTTTTTTTTTTCCTTTAACTTTCTAAGTTTAACCAAAATTCTAAAAAAACTCAATTATGATTCCAAGCTTGTAACTAAATATCGCCTTAAATCATATATGTATATTAAAATAAATAATATTAGAAAATACATATAAAATTATTAATTATATATAAAATTGTTGCCTTAAGTCACATCTTACAAATTACATGACTCGTTACAACTCGTAAAACCTTGAGGCTTGACATTGTCGTCAAGTCACGTCTAATGTTATTTAAAACCTTGATTTTAATCCTAAAAAAATTGTCATTTTGTAAAAAAAATCATAAGTTGTTTTAGATAAGTAATCTTAAATAAATTGCTATTGTAACATAATTAAGTTTGAGGTTTGTCCCGAGTTGATCATTAAACTTTTTTTTTGCATGATAATTTTTATCAGGGGTTTGGCCCCCAAACTAACAAGTTTCCAGGTTCACTCCTTTTATTTGGCATCCTACATGACAAAGTAGGTTTATATTAATGTCACATGCTGCTTACGAGGCATCCACCTCCCATTAATAAATTGAAAACAAAAAAGGTCCCCTCCCCCTCTTAACCATCATCGGTCTATGTTGATGGATTGTTGTCACCGGGTCCTTGTTAGGAAATCAGGCGACACTTATCAATAATCAAAATATATCTGATGCCACTTGCCAAACTCTAATAACCCTTATTAGAAACTAATATAGATAAGACACAAAGACACAATATTTATGTTGTTCGGTTAAAATGACCTACGTCCATGGGCAGAAGGATAATATTCTTATTTACAGAGTTCTTGTTAGAAATTTGGGGTATAGAAAGGCTTGGAAATTCTGAGAATTGTGGTATCACTTTCAGATTAAAGTATTTGGGTGGTACTCTCAATCTTTAATCGGATAAGACTCAGAAATTGAGAATAAGAACAGAAAATCCGATTGTTATGAATTTCGAATGTACCATCAAATGAAAACCAAAAATTAGTTAAATACCTTTTCCATCAGAAAATTGTCACAAGACAGTTGTATGTTTGAAAAAACTGTCACAAAAAACAGTTTGATTTTTGAAGACTGTCACTAATCTGGGTTCTTTCTATAAGGGTCAAAACAAAGTCAAAAATCGGGTTTATTTCCAAAAATTCAGATTTCTGATGCATATTTAATATATTCGACCCCAGCCAGGGGCAGAGCCCCTTGGATCCTGCCAGAGGCGCTGCCCCCGTTCGTTCAGGGGCTTTGCCCCTAAATGACAGTCTACTTGTTTAATATTCATCAAGATTGATTTTAGTCAACAAGTCAATCCATTACACTTCAATACACATTGATGATACAAAATCATCAACAGTTCTCAAATAGAGATTATAAGTACAATAAAGATTCGACCTACTCACTAAGGATACAAAATACAAAGAACAAGACCAATACATGACATAGCAGACATCCCTATTTATAGACTTGAGATCATATCTGAAACCTTAATACGCCAAAACTATAAATCCATAGGCTCATAAAGGGTGTCAACCAATCACAATCTGCCATGCAACTGCTTCTAGAACTTTCAACCATGAAAGACATTGCATTGACACTGTGCATGACACTTCTTCTATACTTCAGTCTTCTGTTAGATGCTCCATTTCGAAGAGTGCCATCATATTCGAGGAGTATCATCATATCTAAAAGTAACATCATATCCAAGAGTGACATCGTTGATGGGTTTTGCTACAAGATAAAGAGAGTTTTTCATAAAAACCGGGCAACAGAAGCTTTAAAAATAACAAGTTTATTTTCGAGTTTATAACAAATCCAAACCAACTAGGATCCATTTATAGAGGTTAGAATGATATTAAAAACAAGCATAAAGTGTTTTAGAATGACAACCTTTGGAGCATTTGAACCCACTTTGTTTTGGGGTGTTGATGAAGATAGAAAGATCAAAGAAGATGACTTTCTCTACAAGTATCCACCATCAATAATAAGGCACTTTGAATACTAGTTCCTTCTTGTATTCTTGACTATCTTAAGCCAAGCACTTAACTCAAATAAGCACTAAATGAGACAACTTAAGGAAGCTCCAAAACACCAACAACTAGTTTCAAAAGGGAGGGTGATCTTGGGAGAAAAAGCTATGACTTTTAGGTGAAGAAGAAAAGAAAAGAGATCCAAAAAAAAGTAGCTAAAAACAAGTTCCATGCACTTTCTTATATACTCTCATGCAAGACATGCCTTTAGATTATAATAACATAAAGTAATGGTAACCTTTAGGGCATGAGGAGGACAAGAAGAAGGTTGACAAGCAACCTCTCTTCTTTAAAAAAGAATCCGGCCATGCCTTCAAAAGAAGACAAAAAATGTTTTTTAGTTTCTCAACTGTAAAAGACCAAATAACTAGTAAGTCAATGGTTAACCAAAGTGTCCAAAACTTTGTACATGACTTATTAAATCATACCATATGGTATAATAACTAGTTTGTCTTCTCTTTAATTACTATTTTCATAAAACAATAATGTTTCTCTAATTAAATACAATAATTGATTGTATTTATTAATAATCATATTGATAATAAATATACAAAATGTACCAACTTGATAAATGTGTGACCCTATAGGATCATATGTTATTAGCAATATCACTCAATAATGATTCTTGAGCATATAGATCCAACAATCGTATCAAAGAGTGTCATCATATTAAAATAGTGTCATGACATTAAGATGCTTTATTGAATTTTCAAATTCTCCAAATCTCATTTTAGGTCTTCAATTCTCAAGTCATATTTAACACTCCAGTGAAAGATAATGAAAGCAGGCACCCATATCTCCTCTCCCCTCCCTCTTCTCCACCTATTACTACAACACGACAAATTTTCCGAAAATATAAAATTCAAGGAGAGAACACATCCACAAATTCACTAGAGTAATCGGATGAAGACCAAAATCGATTTCTAAAGGGCTTTAAGGACTGAAACTGAAATCGATTTAAGAAGGCTTAAACTGAAATTAATATTTAAAGGATTGAACTAAAATCGACTCCTGGAAACCTTCATCTTCTATGAAGATGCAAAAAAAATCAATTTATGTACATCAATCCTTCTAAAGTGGAATCTGAAACGAAAGAACAAATGAATTTTATGATGATATGTTTTATTGGGTGATCTTTAATTTTTCCGTTTTGATCGATAAACACGATTTCTTTGTCCGAAGTGCACTTTCAACCTCTCGTTCGGTAATCAACATTTGGCTTTTCTTTTCCACAATCAATGCTCAAACCCATTTGGAATTCAGGGAACGCCACTGGGGAACATTATATGACAGATAGAACACTAATGTACTTTTCCACTAGGTTTCAAAATAGAAGAAATCGAAAAGGTGGCGGTGGTGGCGACATAAGTGGTGGTGGAGGTAGATGGATGGTGGTGTGATAGAGACACTACACTTGTAAGCCACTGAAGAGTCATCTTTGTGGTGGTGTGATAGAGACAATGAAGGTGAGGTTGTCTTTGACGAGTAGCATCAAGTATATGTTCATGGGGTTGTGGTGGGAGGGTTATGTTGTGTGTTGTGGTTTGAGAGTTACGTCGTCGGTTGTGGATCTTGGTAGCTTAGAACGCTTGCATTTATTCCAGGAATCTTGTAACACTCTGTTTCGAATCGTTTCATAATTCGGGGTCGTGACCTTATGATCAGTTATCATAAGGCTTCGGGCCTTGGGGTAAGAGAGAGATTTAGGCCCATTTGGATGTGGGTAATGTAGATTAGGTGATCTGAGAGTTCAGTTGGTGCTTTGGCCCCCATGGGTATAACCGTAAAGTGATAGTTCGTGCCTTTTATGAATTTTGGATTTAAGTTCGGAAAGTTTTAAGGCAAAGGAGAGTTGATAGGATTATAGAGCTTCTCATTACCTTTCTGTGGATATAAAGATCGTCGAAAACAGAATTGGAACGAAGAAGTTATGACCATTTGAAGTTAGGAGGGTTTTGGGGCTTAGTCTAGTACGTTGAGCGTACCTGGAGTACGTTGGGCGTACTAGGCATTCATGGAGTATGTTGAATGTACGTGATCAGTGCCGAAACACTATTTTCATGGTTTGAGCCCTATTTAAGCTCCTTAACTTCCCCAAACCCATTCCATTCTTAGCCTCCGCCTCTCCAATACCCTCCCTTGAAACACTAACCCTAGTTTGAACCTTGTGAGCAAAAAGAAGGTGTTTTTAAGTGCTTTGGAGTGTTCTTGGTGCATCTTGGAGAATAAGGAGCTCATTGGAGAAGTGATGGTTGCATTAGAGCTTGTAGATCCAGACTTTGTTTACCTTGATCTTTCGTTTAGAGGTATAAAGTTTGAATCTTGATGATGCATTTGATAGATCTAGCTACTCTTGGGTGTTATGATATTTTGGTCACTTTAGTGCATAAAATTTAGATCTTGAAAGTTTGTGACCTTGTTATGGATAAAGTGATGGGTTTTAGGTAAAATAAATAAACTAGAAAAACAATTCCTAAGTTCACATGCAACCTACTTTGGATCTATGTTTTAACTATTGAACATATAACTTTGAATTGCAAAATAAGAACCCTAAGGGAAGAAGCTATTTTTCGAA